TTGTTTTGATGCGGTCATGCTAATTAAAAGAAAGAGAAAAGACAAGATAAAGAAAAAAGATAATTTTGGTGCTGGAGAGACAAGGTTGCGAAGGTGTGCGGTGCTGCGCGTGCACAAATCACGATCCAACGATGGAGAGAAAATGTGGATTTCTGGTGATGTTCTCACGTTTTGTTTGGCTGCTGGATAGACGGTTTGGCAGGAAGGCAATGAGAGCGATGCAGAAAAAGAAAACAGAAGGAGATGGAGGTACTGGGGACATAAGGGAGTCTTTTCTGGATCTGATTCAGGGTACTGGCTCAGCGAGAGCGATGACGTCAGCGCAGGCTTTACCGAGGATGGAGGGATTGAAAGAGAAACGGGGGAGGCTGGAGATGACGCCCTAAGGGAGTCAGGGATGAGAAAGATATTAGGGAGGGAGAGAGAAAGGACAAAGTGGGAGCGAACGGGGGCAGCAATAAGAAGCCTACCACATATATCTGGGTGTGACTTCGGAAACTGCAGCTAAGTGGGTTTAAGATAGATAAACAGAGAGGGGAAAAAAGACAGTCAGAACAAGAGACAAAGGGGGAGTATTTCCTAGGCAGAAGGAATAAAGACAAAGGCTAAAAGATGGTTTATTATCTTGGCTTAGAGCGGGAGAGAAGGAAAAGAAAGGAACTGAAGACTAAAATAAATAGGAGTGATTGGGGAAATATAGAGCACAGAGAATTTTGTCAAGTCTTTGCTCTCTGCCCCATATTTAGTCAATAACCTTCACTGCTTTCTGACTCAGCCCATGAAGCCAGTTTAGTGGTATCATAAAGCAAAAATAAAAGGACAAATATTCATAGCCACAGCTAGTTTGAAACTTATATTACTTTTTCCTGTAGTTTGCCAATTCCCTGAACGACGTCAAGTCCTTTAACTGGAGACAAATGTCTACGAGACAAACTGCTTGGCCTGCCAGAAGAATTTTGTTTTCTTTAAAAGTTATTTGTGACATGTCCCTAGAGCTAGCTCAATGCCTCACGCCCAAAAACTCTCCCATGCCTGCGGGCCGGCTTGCAATGCACCTGGGTCTGGAATGTGTTTTTGCTGCAGGTGGTTCAAGTATCTGGGAGTCATGTTCACGAGGGATGATAGGATGGAGCTGTAGATGGATCAGTGTATCCTGGCTTCATCTTCAAATATGAGGGATTTCCATTGTTCAGTCAAGCCGAAAGAGTTGACGTAGATGTTTATTTGTCCTAAATATGGTGGGAAACGTTTTGTGTAATGCTCTGAAGTGAGCAAATTAACAATGCAAATTTTATAGAATATATAAATTAGAAGTATATACATAACTATGTAAATGAAATAAAGAAAGGATGTAATGTATTGAGGTGGATAGTTATTGTCTTTGTTGAGAGTCCAAACAGCTTGCTTCTTTGTTGAGAGTTGTCAAAAAGCTAAGTTTTTGTCTTACTGGTATGACATGCTAACTCTCACCTGTGTATGAATCATTAAAAAAGAGCAAAATTCTGGATATAAGCAACTGCAAAAAGATTTCTTTGCAGGGTTGTTGACCCTGGGGGGCTTCTTCTGCCGGGCGAGCTTCTCTGCATCGAAAAATGTCAGGTGAGGTGGTTCAGGCGTCTAATTAGGACGCCTTCTAGTTGCCTAACTTTGCAGGTTTTTTGAGCATGTCTCACTTTGTAAGAGACCCTGGGGCAGATTCAGAACTCACTTGAGGAATTAGGTATTCTCTCACACTTCGGGATCCTCAAGGTGGGGCTGGAACTGGGATTTTTTTTCTCTTGGAACTGTTGCCTTTGAAAACTGAGGAGGGATAAGTAATAGAAGATAGATATATGGGTATTTGTGACATAAAATAACAAATAGCAAAAAAGATCATAAAAACAAGAATCATCAAAGGACACAGAGAGCAGGGAAAATGTTCATTTTTTGCAAGGTATCTCAAAAGGTGATACAATGCATTTAATTAGTGTTAACAAAGCTGTCAGCTAACTGATAGAGAAATATGTTAAACATATTAATAGTCTGATTAACTCACAATGCCAAGACTTTCAGCTTTCATTTTGTCTGTTACATGCAACATAAATGTGTTTGCAGTTTTTATTTAAATTTACATTGGACTGAATGTATGATGCAAATCCATGATGTTACTGGAACAACTATACATTCACTTAGCCAAATTATTGATGCAATATTTTTTACTCTTTACACAGTAAAACAAATCTGACTAAATCCATGTCTTTTTTAAGGATGTCTCCTAGCTAGTCTGCATTCCTCTGTTCAATTTCCATCATTTCTATAAAGCCCCTGGGTTTCTCTGTGTTTTCAGTGTTTAATACTTTCTCTCCTTAAATTTGAAGTGTAAAAGTAATTAATACCAACACTCTGCCTGTTAAACAGCTAGCTATATACACTTGCCTTTGGGTGGGGTGACATCAAAAGCAGCAACCGTTTTTTTTTTTAAGTCAGGACATATTTGAGGTGGTTAAATGGCGTTTTGTGCTCTGATTCACCACTGTGTGCCAGCTGGTCATGTCCAATTGTAGGTGTTGTGTGGAAAAATGTGGCAGCGTGTCAGTTTTTTACCCTTCTTTCACTCTACAAGTTGCACTGCTGACAGGTGACCAATGATGAAGCCACCGGCGCAAGAAATTAAAAAGCACGGAGGCGAGGAAAAAAAAAAGAAGGTGAGGGAGAATAAAGGAGGGGCCTGCATTGCTATAGGATTATGACACACGCAACACATACAGTTTCAAACTTTTTAAACTCCAATTATCTTTCACCTGACCACGGACAAACTGGCCAACATTAATAAACTTTGCTGTGTTTCTCTGTCTTAGACGTTTTGTCTGTTTTACAAGAATATTGAACTAAAAATCAAATTAGCTCTCATGCATATTTCATTATTCTAATTGTTGAATGATACTTTTAGAAAAAAAGAGACATGAGGGGTTTTGTATGCTCATTAAAACACCTCAATGGGAAAATCTGACTGTTTTTAATGTAAATGTCATCTGTTTGACAGGTGCGCACAGAGGGAACGCAAGAGTTTAACTAATTGAAAGGAAATATTCAGAGGAGAAAAAAGATAGCTAATCAGCCTTCTTAAAATATTCCCTTTCTTTGCACATCTCCTCCTTTGTCCTCCCCATTCTTGTACATAATATACTCTTCATTCTTGTCATTTAAATATTTCATTTAAAGCAGGAAGTGCCATTGGGATAAAGTGGTGCTTCAGTGTGAAGTAGTGTTTTATGTTATCACATATATGTGTCACAATAATATATGGGCACCGCTCTTCCTCCTGCAAATCACCTTTGCTTGTGAGACAAGACCCTGACATGTTTAATTACACATGCACACACATAAATGTAAAGCATGCATTTTTATAGCTGCTCACCTGCTTTACATGCATGTAAACACATACTCTCAGGGGCTAAACAGACCTAGTGCACTGCTGTGCATAACCTGCAGTAATACGAACGAGAAATACTTACATTTTGTGTGTCAGAGGCGAGCCCCCCCTAATGATTTGAATTAATTATCTGGAGTCTGGGTCAAAACACTCTTAAAGACATGGGTTATTGTTCTCACTGCTGTGTTCGCGCACACACACCCACACACACACATAAACACACACGTGCTGGTAACTGTCCTTGCGCTATAGCTCTTCACTTGTCAGCCACCTTGTGTACAAGTGATCTCAATGATGCCATTACTGTAATGTCTACTCCAGAAGTACTAGTATGAGTGTATTGCTGCTACATTTACAGCATAAAGGGTTCTTAAACACAGACGACCCTTGAGTGTCAGAATAAATGCAGAAAACGTATCATAAAATTGTACATGATGGAGCGATGATACCAAGTGGGACAAAACTGTTACAGGGATTCAAGTTTTGTTTCTTAACTCTGTGGCTTTTTATATGCAATTCTAATATCTACACTAATGCACCTACTTTTGATTTTTTTAAACATTTTTAGTAAGAGACAAATCTCGAATTTATGGAAAAATTAAATCCCCATTTTTGAACATGCATTTAGGTTAAGAAGTGTATCTACAGGTACTGCTTTCACACCATGTTGACTATCATGCCTTAATGCAGCTTATAACAAAGTATTTAAACTTCTACAAATTGTCTGTGTGTAAAGGATTGTGTGTATTTTTTTTTTAACTGAACTGATAAAACGTAATCAACTGAGCCAGAAATGACAGATGAGGTTGATTTGTAGACAGTTACAGGGCTTTTTTTCTAATGTATGCTGTAGCATTATAAAACTTATAGTCTTGACATTGTGACATTGTTAATGTGGGATGTCTCAGCCTGTGCTTTCTTAATTAAATATTTGTGTCCATTTGGAAATATTAGTGTGCTTTTGCCAGCAAGGCACACTATAAAAAATGTGACAGAAGAAATTTGTTGGTGGTGAAAAAAAAAAAATGGAAAGATATTTATTTTGTCTCTGACTTTTGGTAGAGGCTCTCCTGCCACGTTGGACTCTGCAGTGTGAAACTAGGACACTAACTGTGCACTGACAGAAAAGCAGCATCCCCTCTCATCTCTTCCGCCATGTTCAAAGACACAGCAGTTACTGCGGTTGTAGAGACATTTTGTCATTCTGAAGCTTCACCTTCCATGCTGTGCATTCTAAAAGACATTGATAAGAACACTGCGTAATTAAATCAGATGTCGGGCGTACAAATAGCTAACAATGCCCAGTTTATAATTACCCGGTGGAATTAAATTTAGATTCTTTGTGTGGGGCTGTTTGATTCATCTAGTTAGTTCTGCAGTTGTTGGAATTAAGTTTAACAAAGTTTATTTATGCAACTCATTGTGCGTATGTGTGTGGTATGGCTTGTCTTAACACAAAGATTTGTTTCCTTTTTGACCACATACTGTTTCTGTTATTAACAAACCAGTACATCTTACTATTTATCACAATGCTCATAATGGTAGGTGAAGATTTTAGTTTTAATTCTTTCTTATCTTCTGCTTATAGATGCAACAACCGTACCCAGTGTGCAGTGGTGGCAGGCCCTGATGTTTTCCCTGATCCCTGCCCAGGAACGTACAAATACCTGGAAGTCCAGTATGAGTGTGTTCCTTACAGTAAGTTAGTTTGATTTTGTTCCACTGAAAGATCACACGTACCAAACTGCATTTACTCAGCATGAATATGATTTCAATGTCTACAACATCCTGATAGAAACTGATTTTTTTTGCAAGTTTGGTAAACATTTGATGTTGATATAGAAGTGGCTACAGTTTTCCATACATATTCACAAATATAAAGTTATACTGACATTTCATTCTGGTAATATATGAGATGGGAAGAATGAGAAAGACAAATGGAAGTTGGGAATATGAACACTTAACCAGAT